TCGTACCACTCAATATGACAATTTTTTTATATACAATAGCTATGTTTAAATCGGAAGAAAATCTGAAGTGTTGTCAGAGGCCTGGGGATTGAATGTGTAGCTGGAAGGAAATTATTGAAAGTTTCTAATTTCTTCCTTGGACTGAGGTTTCCTAGTATTTTATGTCTAGATCTGGCTGACTTACTATCCAAAATTATGGTGAATAGTCATCTGATTGCCATTAGAGAGATCAAACAACTGAAGAAGTGTTACCATAAAGGCCAAATCTCAATTCAGAATAACTGTAAAACCAGTTCAATTTTGATAGCTTTTTTTTTACACGTGCATTCATTCTCACCATCACCTCTTACTTTAATGACTGAGTTGTGTCTGCTGTGCATGTTTTGGGAGGGGAAGCAAAGGATACAACTTCATCTTTCCTGTTTTCTTCCTTTGTTAACTTGCCTCTGTCTCCTCAATGATGTAATCAGTTTGAGACGATGGGTGAGCAGCGTTCTCCCAGGCCTCTGCCAATGCCACTGCAAAATTTGTGATTAGAATGCACAAAAATCAGGCATCCCTTTGGGGAAATACTTAACACCAACTGTATTATCACAAATTAGATGATCATAAATGAGACTGAGCTCATTTATGTTTTTATTTATATATATATATGTATTCATCCTGCTTCACGTCCCCCGCCTGCCTCACCATTGGCGGGCGGGCCTTCTGCCACTCTACCTGCACCCTCTGGAAGTCCATCCCATAGTCCCTTCGCCTTGACCCTTCCCTTGCCTCCTTCAAGACCCATCTCAAACCCTCCTACCGTGCTTTCGATCACCCTGCTTCCCCCCCCCACCCTCCCCAATCCCAACCCCCAGCTCGGGTCCAAAACACTGCCTGTCCAGCTCCTTGGGATGTCCTCCCGACGTGGAAGGAGCTATACAAATGTAATTTTGTTGTTGTTTTTGCTAGAATGATATGTTCAGTCTTTATTGTGATTGTTGGCTTACTTATTTCTCAAATGATACTGAATAATAATTCATAGTTAATTGATGCTTCTAAAGGATTTGGATACAGTATTTAACAAAAAGTCCTTTGATTTTTGCAGTTGTTACCATTGCTTGTGCTACAAATATTTTAGTTAATAATTAAACCCACTAATATGCCAGCGCTACAACTTTATCTTTCAGTGAAACAATAATTGTTCATTATTTTTGAACCGTGAAAATGCTTGTCAGTGATTGGCTATCTAGCTATCTAGTTGATACATGTTTGTGTGGAAATCTCACAGCTTTAATCTTTCTGAGGAATGTACAGTTTTTTCTAGATTGATAAATTCTGTACAATTTGAACACTTATATAACTGCAAAGCATCAACGACAACAACAAAATTACATTTATATAGTGCCTTTCACGTCAGGAGGGCGTCCCGAGGCACTGGGAAGGAGGGTGATCGAAGGCACGGTCGAAGAGGAGGTCTTGAGATGGGTCTTGAAGGAGGCAAGGAAGGGGGTGAGGTGGGAGAGACTGCGGGGTGGAGTTCCAGAGGGTGGGGGCAGAGTGGCTGAAGGCCCACCCACCAATGGTGCGGCAGGTGGGATTCGTGAAACAGGCCGAAGCTTGCTGAGCGGAGGGAGCGGGAAGGTTGGTAGGGGCTTAGGAGGTCGCAGAGGTAAGGGGGGGGAAACAAGGCCTTGGAGGGCTTTGAAGGTGAGAACCAGGATCTTGAACTGCTGTATCTTCTGCGTGATAGGAAGCCAGTGGAGTTGAGCGAGAAAAGGCCATTTGGTTGCTCCTCATAACATAAGCCCCTACTCTATCATCAGCTCCATCACTTCATCTCCTGGAGCAAAGTATTACAGAATATAAATAGATATTCTCAGAACCCCAGAGACAGTTGAGCAAAAACTGTTAATATTCATCGATCTCATATCTCGGCCACTCACACATTTCGGCCCCTCACCACATCTCAAACTCTTTCCTTCAGAAAGTATTCCCCAGCACCAACAGCATAGCATTCAATTTGTGGTGAGAATTATTCATTCATTTTAGTCCACACCTCGCCCTATATCTGCAAGCAGATACTTAGCCATTTTTTAAAAAGTAATCAGCTCAGTGTTAGCTAGTTTTCAGTCTCTAACCCTGGTTGGCACTCTTTAATCTTCAACCTCTGTGCCTTCTAATTTTACTCTTGTTTACATCAGAATAACCTACTTGCATTGGGACTTTTAGTTATATTTGGAAACTGATTTTGTTGCATTAATTGCAAATAGCTGAAGCTGTTTGCGAGATTCACAAAATGGCTGACTGCAAAAGTACACTAACTTTAATCCACAATTAGCCCATTTGCAAATTTCAAAAGTTATAAAACTACTTCCAGTATTTGCAACCCATATGTCATAATTATGCTTAAACCTACCTGTTGCTATTAGTAATTAGACCTCATCTATTCATAGACCTCATCTATTCATACACTTGTTCTATTCATACATTTCATCTATTCATAGACTTCATCTATGCTTCTTCATTTCAAAGACCTGCTTAAGGTGTCAAAAGGCACATAAGAAGCTTGATTTAGAAAAAATTAAGACACGGGGGTAAAAATTGCAATCTGTTAATTAACACATTGTTGAAAATTCTGTCCTTTCGACTGATGTGGAGTCCTGTAGCTCAGTGGTTAGAGCACTCGCTTTGCAAGCGAGAGACCTGAGTTCAATTCCAGGCAGGGCGAAACCTTGGGCAAGTTTCCTTACTCCACACAGAGCCTAATAATAATCCCTCCAGCATCAAAAACAATAATAAATTGGTCATTTTCAATCTACGACTGTTTGTGGGACATTGCTGTGCGCAATTGGCTGCCACGTTCGCCCACAAAGATACAGTCAATTCTGTGTTCTGTGAAGCGCTTTGGGACATCCTCCCGACGTGAAAAGCGCTATATCAAATGCAAGGATTATTATTATTATTAAGATATCAATTGACAACCCAACTCCATAATGGTTGGCCCTGAAGCCATGAGGCAGATTATAACATTGGACTAATAGTTAGGAAGAGGTTTGTTTTTCACGNTTTTAGTTTTTTTTAAATTAAAAAAATCAAAGCAATATTCAGTAAAGTCATACAGAAGTTGGCTTCAGGCCCAATTGTTGGATGAAGTTATACAGTTGGGTGTCATCAAAAGGCCAGAATTTTTAACGATGTATTAATTGATATCATAAGTTGCAACCTGTCCACTCCTTCTGCTCAGCAGGCTCCGTTCTGCTCCACGACCCCCGCCCAGCCCACCCCACCCATCAGCGGTCGAGTCTTCGACCTCTCTGCCCCCACCTTTTGGAACTCCATTCCACACTCACTTTGCCTTGCTCCCTCCCTTGCCTCCTTCAAGGCACGTCTCAAGACCCTTCTCATCCATCATGCCTTCAGCCGCCCTCCTACCCCCTACTCTCCCTGCCCTCCTGATCCCAATCCCTTACTCGGGTCCAAATTCCTGACTGTCCAGCGCCTTAGGATGTCCTCCCAACTTGAAAGGCGCTATACAAATATAATTTGTTGTTTTTAGAAGCAGGAAAGGGATTTTTTTTCAATTAGTGGGAGATAGTCCATCGCATACGTTGGGTCTGTGCTGGCCAGAATCGTCCCAATTGATTCAAGGTGAAACCTCTGAAAGAATATTTCATAGTAGTGTTCCACTGGAAACTAATTTGAATTATTCCCATCAGGCAAAGATTAAGGAGAGTCCTTAATCTTGGTCCTGGAGAGTAAATATTATAATTTATCTGAATTACAAACTTTTACAAACGTAGCATAACATACTTTAATTTTGTTACTATGATATCTCAACTGGCAATACAGTCAAAGATAATAGCTTGCACTTGTATGGTGCCTTTCACTTAGGATAACATCTTAAAGTAGTTTACAGAGAATTAGTGGGAGCCCGAATAAGGTGAGTGGAGGGGACCAAAGGCACAAAGATGTTGAAGTCATTTGAAAATTAGGAAATTGGGGATTAGGAATAAGCATCTGGTGAGGATGGGGCTAATGGCTTGCAGAATCTGGTGTGGAAAAAGATATGGCCTGCAGAGATATGGATAAACTGGAGCTTGTTGAGGAACAAGTTAGGCCTGCAAGGAAAACATAGGGGAAATCAAATGTGCAGACATGAATGAGGTTTCCACCTGCATGGGGGTGGCTTTACCTAAACTTAGGTCTAGCATTTTAAGTTTGATTGCATTTCTAGCATTTTTTTCTTTTCATTTCTCCAAAGGTACAAAAAAGCACATATTTAATAGTGTATATTTTACTGATTAAATATGAATGTTTCTGGAAGTTCCTACTCCTAGATTCTTTAATCACAGCTGTGCAATAAAACTTTGCAATAATTTTTAATAATGTTTATTACCTGTAATTTTATGCAGTTTATCAGAAGAATAAAGATACATTTAAAAAATAAACTTGTTTCTGATTAACTGTACACATTTAAATGAATATGTGTAATAGATGCATAGTTATCCGTGCTCATATTTTCACTCACATTAAACTCCGTACCCCCAGTCCTCACCAGGCTACATTAGCTCCCTATAACAGAACGGATCGATTTCAAGATCATCTCACTCATCTACAAATCTCTTCATACCTTGGCACCCCCTTACGTTTGTGACCTTCTTTCTCCCCACTCTACTACCCGCTGCCTCCGCTTGGTTGGCTCTAGCTGCCAGCATGTCCCTCATCCCCTCTGCTCCACAATCGGCAGCCGCACTTTCAGCCACTACGTCCCGAAGCTTTATAACTCTCCCCCAGTCCCTCTGCCTCGCCCCTTCCTTCCCCTTTTTTAGATCATGACCGAAAACTTTCCTCTTTGACCATGCTTACAGTCACCTCCTCGCTCCCTCCAGCTCCCCCCACTGTTAAGCACTCCCAAGATGCTGCCCCACGTGAAAGGGCGCTGTATAAATGCAAGTTGTTGCTGTTATATAAATGTTATATTAGAATTTTTAATCAGAATTCTCAAATATTGACAGGTATCTGTCAGAAGAGGATGTCTTGGACACAGGAAATCCATTTGTTCAGCTAGTGAGTGGAGTAGTGTGGCTTCTCCGAAATGGCACTATTTATATTAATGAGAGCAAAATGGCAGAATGTGCAGAGACCCAGGAAACCGGTACAGTACAAGAATTAAAGTTTCTTATTAATTAAATGAGCATACAGTGAAATTGAAAAGATGCCCTGAAATCAAAGTTTATTGCATTATTTCTAAGACTGTCTTAAGCACTATAAAGACAAAAGGGAACGTTTTTGCTTTACATACACTGCTTTCTGCTTGCACCACATTTTGTTAATTCAGTGTTTATAAAGTAGTCTGAAAAATGAAGACTGGGCATTGCACTATAAATTGCTCAACAAACAAATATGTTTAAAGATCAAGTTCAGCTTTGGCATGTGGAATGAAAAGTGCTACGAAACTGCAGCTTTGCACATAAAATCTTATTCAATCACAACTGTTTTATTTTAGTCACTAAACATGCAATTGCTATTTATAGCAAAATTATCCCCAAATTTGTTCCCATTATGACCACATAGGCCCACCCACAGAAATCATTGAAGAATCAAGTTTCTGTTGACTGTGATCCCTGGCATGTATTGACTTTGACAGAGCTAGACTGAATGCAACAAAACAATTCTTCAGTTCAGCAAACTTTTTTCCCTTTTAAGCTCTAAAAATTGTTTCACTTCAGACAAAATCACTTGTAATTGCTGTTTTAATGTCTGTTTTTACACATGTGGTGAAGTTTGCTATGTTGTATGTTAACTAACAACTATGCGCTAATTAAAACTAATAGTCAGTTTAGTGACCTTATGATAATTAACACATCGACCGATTCTCAAGGTGTCTTGGAGGTGAGAACCAATTTTTCCCACGACACCCATTACACTTCTCAGCCTTCTCAGTCGCCATGTCTGATAAGCTGGGCATGTTGGACGACTGTTTTTAGACTGATTTTTTTTCTGGATAGCTGGTAGTCCAATGCTGCAATGGAAGTACAGCGGCTAGCATCTTTCAGAGAACCACTGAAAAGATTGGGGGGGTTGGGCATTTTTGCTTTCAGTTGTATTTAGGATATGGTAAAAGTGCACTTTACTTTTTAAATAAATAATTATAATGGAATACTTTGAATCCAGCAATAGAACCTAACCAAATTTCACTATTGCTAAATAACTAAATGTTAAGAATCCTTGCATTTGATAGAATTAATTTGTGTCAGTAAGATCACTTCTTGCTCGCTTGGCGCAAGAAGCGCTGCTGACATCTCCTGTGCATTGAGCAAATGTAGCAATGTGCAGGAAGTGATGCTTGTGGTAATCTGGCGACCCGAAAGTCAAACATTTTTAGCGTGGGAAACCAGCTAGTTAGTGACTGAAGCAGGTTACTAGTCCACAGGACATCAGTGCTAGAAGTGATCACAACCAGATCATTATGATTGATTGTTGTGATCTTGTACAACAGTTTTTTATTTAAGCTTCCTTCAAACATTGTAGGGTCATATTACAGATACAGAAGCACTGAACTCAAATGGTACTAGATGAGGATGAAATAACTTCCTTGTTTGGGGGAAGGGGGAATTGATAAAAGTATCTGTAATCAAACCACATTACGTAAGCTTCAAATATGCAAGTTGGGAAACGGCAATTTAAAAAAAAATGTGAACTCACAAATGGTTCATTTTCTGTGATATTTAATTTTTCCATACATTCTTAACATAACTTGCTTTAAGTATTGATTTAAGAGGAAGCTAGACTTTCACATGAGGGATAATGGAATAGAGGGGTGTGGAAGGAGTAAAGAGTGATTGGAGACTCCTGTGGAGTGTAAACACTGTCAAGGATAGATTGGGCCGAATTACCTACTTCAGTGCTGTACGTTCTTCGTAAGTCTGTTTTATTTTATTATTTTGGAGTCCTGTAGCTCGGTGGTTAGAACACTCACCTCGCAAGCAAGAAGCCTGGGTCAATTCCCAGCAGGGCGAAACCTTGGGCAATACCTTGGGCAAGTTTCCTTACTCCACATGCCTGATAATAATCCCTCAAAAATTAATAAATAATTAAATAAATTAGTAATTTGGTCACTCAATCCACGACTGTTTGTGGGACACTGCTGTGCACAATTGGCTGCCGGGTTTTGCCCACAAATATACAGTCAATTCACTTTACAATATATTCTGTGAAGTGCTTTGAGACATCTAGAAGACATGAAAAGTGCTATATCAAATGCAAGGATTATTATTATTTTCCATTCTCCGGTCTAGTGATGTAAAAAAAAAAGCAGATGGCACAGTCACTTGAATATTCTTACTAAAGTAACTTGAAGGATTCTGTACCATGAAATTATACACCCAGCAGCCTAGCTGAGAATAAACCAAACTTAAAGTTTGAAGTGTAGTATTCAACCTAACGCCTGCTGGGATTCTAAGTCAAGCCCCAGAATAGAGATTCCTACATTTTACTGCTGGAGCTATTGAGGTGTAATTGTATCCAGTAGATCTATTTTGCAACCATTGGATTACTGTATTATTCAGCTGACCTGTCTGATCACTTTGTTGGGTACAGTAGAATATTCTACAGTTAATAATTTTTGTATGAACAGTTTATACCTATTTCATGAAACTGCTTGTGAACACAAAAGTTAAAAGTTTGCAAAAAATCTGAAGCTCTTCAGATAGAGCAGTATGGGCAGGTTAACTGAATGATCATTGAAAGTTAAGATGTGGTTTTATCCACTGAGTATTTTCATGTTCAATAGTTGTTTCCAACCTATTCTTGGTCCTCCTAGAATTTTCTTCCTAGATAAAGAATCCTAGAATTTCCACCTGTGTGGTTCCTGGTCTCTATTTCTCATCTCCACAGAGATTAGTTTAAACCCATGGTCCATGATGGTTCGAACATTATTAAAATCATCTTAGTTATTTTATATTCATATCAGGAATTAAGTTATCATTTGTGTATTCTGCACAGAACAAATATAAATTCAGGAATAGTACTATATATATTTGCAAATATATATGTTTACCAAATTTGGGTTTCTTCTGTTATCTAGGATCTTTTGACAAATTTGTCAATGTGGTTTCTGCACGAACAGCTGTGGGGCATGATAAATATGGGAGACTCGTTTTATTCCATATTGATGGGCAAACTGACGACCGAGGGTAAGACAATATTTGTTAGCCTCACGTGTTATAAAACAGATTAAAATAAACTGTTAAGATTTAACAGTTGATTATAATCGTACTAAGCTATGTATTAAACAGAATTGTATAGTAATCTAGAATTGAGGAATTTTTTGCATGAATAATTTATACATTAATCTTAATTCCATATAGGTTATAACTAGTGTTAAGTACAAATTGTTATAGAAGCATGAATGAGGAAGACTCTTCCAAAATGCTGATTTCTTCATTTTAAAGATTTATTTCAAAGGTTATGTTGTATTGTGCCTTATTATATTTTGTGATTTCCTTCTTTTTGAGAATAATAATAATAATAATCCTTGTATTTGATATAGCGCTTTTCACGTCGGGAGGACGTCCCAAAGCGCTTCACAGAACACACTGTAAAGTGAATTGACTGTATATTTGTGGGCAAACGCGGCAGCCAATTGCGCACAGCAATGTCCCACAAACAGTCATAGATTGAAAATGACCAATTTATTATTGTTTTTGGTTTTGGAGGGATTATTATTAGGCTCTGTGTGGAGTAAGGAAACTTGCCCAAGGTTTCGCCCTCTGCCTGGAATTGAACTCAGGTCTCTCACTTGCAAAGCGAGTGCTCTAACCACTGAGCTACAGGACTCCACCAATGTTCCACCAACAAAATACAGTCAGTTCACTTTACAGTATATTCTGTGGAGCGATTTGATACGTCTCAATGATGAAATAAGGCACTATATCAAGGATTATTATAGGATTAGACAATGTAGTCTGATTTTAACAGATGATTGGAATCCATACAATTCCAACACACTCTGTAATGATGCATACGATCAGCTGGCTGGCTCACTTCCTGCGACCAAACGTGCTCCACTAAAATAAACTAGTTGCCATCTGGGTTATCAGGTCCCCATCAATGTGACTTACGATTTGCTATGCTTCCGCAAAAGAGGAAGTGGTTGGCTTGATGACTCAGAAGTTGGCCTTTGTTTTAGCATGTGAAGTTAAAATGGCCGAAATCCAGGTCATTGGATTGCTTTGCATATTCAAATACGATGCTGGGTTATATTGCCAATTAAGATTTAAGCTTTTTTGGGTCGGGTGTGTGTCTCCCAACATGTGCAGAAACCCATCACCATGCTTAAGAGCATGCAAACCAAACTGAGAGATCCGTGCATCCCACCTATACATGAAATACACACTCTCTCCCTGGTGGAACGCATCCTGCTTACCTAATTCCGGAAAGTATTAGGTGCAGGTTGGCAGGAACCAAGACTTGGGGACCCCGGAGTGTGTGTTGGTGCACTGCTGGAGTCTAACCAGCTGAAACCATATAGTTTACCATTGGTCGCTTGCCTGACAACTTTTAGAGCTGCTTGACCACCTCGGACCACCCTACCTGTTAGGGTGTTGCCTGCAGGGTTAACAGGAACTGAGTGGGATGACCTTTATAAAACACTGGTTAGGACTCAGCTAGAGTACTGTGTTCAGTTCTGGGCACCACAGGTTACGAAGAATGTCAAGACATTGGAGAGGGTGCAAAGGAGATTTACCAGGATGGTACCAGGAATGAGGGACTTCAGTTATCAGGAGAGGCTAGAGAAGCTAGGATTAATCTCCTTGGAGCACAGAAGGTTAAGAGGAGACTTAATAGAAGTTTTCAAAATTATGAGGGGATTCGTTAGGGTGAACAAGGAGAAACAATTTTTACTGGTGGGTGGGTCAGTAACCCGAGGACACCGATTTAAGATAGTTGTTAAAAGAAACGGAGGGGAGGTGAGGAGAAATTTTTTCACACAGTGAGTTGTTTGGATCTGGAATGTATTGCCTGAAAGGTTGGTGGAAGCTGATTCGGTAACAGCTTTTAAAGGTGAAGTATATAATTATTTGGGGAGGACAAGTTTGTAGGGCTATGGGGAGAGAGCGGGGGAGTGGGATTGATTTGGATAGCTCTTTTCAAAGAGCCGGCACAGACACAATTGGTCGAATGGCCTCCTTCTGTGCTGTATAATTCTATGACTCCCTGCCCCCAGAGACTGCCAATGAGCCATTGGCTGGCTCTACTGTCATCAGCAGTGCTCTGGAGTACTGCGGACCCGCCTTGCTCAGGAACTGTACTATCAAGAGAGTGGGCTTGATTCCAACACTTCTGTTGCCAAATATGTGACTTTGGAGCCAGTTCAGCTCGAAGGAGTTCAGTTCAGATCCGCAGAGGTCATACTTAAACTGTATACAGCTCTGGTCAGGTAGCACTGGGAGCATTGTATAACATTTCTGGTCACAAGATTAAAAATAGTAAAGTATAAATTATCTCATTGGCGCTTTGAGATGTCTCATTGACGTGATAAGGTGCTATATCAAATACAAGGATTATTATTATAGTAATAAAATAATCCTTGCATTTGATATAGTGCCTTATCATGCCATTGAGATGTCTATTAAGTCAATATTGTTCTGCTTGAATATGGAATCTTTGACAGCCTTAAAACAGATACCCCTGTATTGCTGTGAGGTCAGTCAGTTACCTGATAATATTAAATGTTGTTCTACACTGATGCTCAGAAGGAATTAATTGTGCATTTTGTATACTTCAATGAAAAGAGGTTTGCAATGATAAAAAACATTTACATTGCAGGCTGAATCTATGGGAGATGGCAGAATTTTTAAAGCACCGTGGAGTTGTTAATGCCATAAATTTGGATGGAGGGGGTTCAGCTACTCTGGTGCTTAATGGAACTCTTGCAAACTACCCATCAGATCACTGGTAAGTACCCTTTAACATGCCGCAGTGAATAGGTATCAATTAAACCTTAAAAGATGAAATTATACTTAAATTGTTGATCAAATTAGTGAGAACTTTCCTTTCTTTTTCGCAGTTCTTTTGATTCCATGTGGCGCTGTCCACGGCAAGTTTCCACAGTTATGTGTGTTCATGAACCTGAATGTGTACCTGCAGACTGTAGTGGCCATGGGAATTGTTTACTTGGAGATTGTTTCTGCACAGATTTCTGGTCTGGTCCAGCATGTGATACCCTTGACTGTGGACCTTCGAATTGTACTGAGAATGGAATCTGCACTGAGAGTATGTATCAATATATCTCCTCAATTAAATTTAGTACATCCAATCAGGGTTAATGCAACTTTAAAATGTTGCTTGAGAATCAACAATGGGGCTAAGTTACTCAATTATGGGGTCTTAACAGCTACTCTTTGCCAGCCCTGGTAAATTTTGTATTCTGAACATATAATGGGATCTCCCATTTGTTAGAGCTAGCAAAGCGCATATAATACAATTGCTTGTGGTTTCAATTTGAATGCTGTGTACAATATATTGAATTACTGACACTACTGTCAATCTCTTCTGGCTAAATTGTAGAGTTATGTTTCTGTTTACATTATACAAAGTATCGTATTACTGTATCTAAAGTGCATGAGAACCAATTAATACATGGTTAGCAGAATCCGTAAATGAATGCAAATCAGGTTATTGAATTTGATGATTCAGTTTTCAGCATGTCAATTCACACAATTTAATTTCAATCTCCATAAATATGTTACTATGAAATATGAAGAGTAAAATACCTGGAGGCAATAGTTAAAAAATTCATGCAATTGTACAGTGATAGAATCCTTCACCATTCGACTTGTTCTGCACTACACCTGGTTCTTTTTCTCCTGTAATCAGGAGCAGATCTGTCGTCTTTAAACAGAAGATGCTTTAGTGCTGTCTTACCTCAAGCTAATTTACATAATAATAATAATAATAATAATCCTTGCATTTGATATAGCGCTTTTCACGTCGGGAGGACGTCCCAAAGCGCTTCACAGAACATACTGCAAAGTGAATTGACTGTATATTTGTGGGCGAACGCGGCAGCCAATTGCGCACAGCAATGTCCCACAAACAGGCGTAGATTAAAAATGACCAATTTATTGTTGTTTTTGGTTTTTGGAGGGATTATTATTAGGCGTGTGGAGTAAGGAAACTTGCCCAAGGTTTCGCCCTGCCTGGAATTGAACTCAGGTCTCTCACTTGCAAAGCGAGTGCTCTAACCACTGAGCTACAGGACTCCATAGAATGTTACAGCGTGGAAACAGACCATTGGGCCCAACGAGACCATTCCAGTATTTATGGTCCACATGAGCCTTCTCCCTTCCTCATCCCTCTCCCACAGCCCTCTATTCCTTTTGCCCTGCTGTAACGCTGAATATGTCGAACCTCAGAATTTTCTGCACTGCTGATGTACTTTTGGTATAGATATATTTAACAATAATAATCCTTGCATTCTATATAGCACTTTATCACATTGTTGAGGTGTCTCAAAGCGCTTCACAGAATAATAACTGTATATTTTGTGGGCAAAATTTGTAGTCCAGGTTAAGCAAATTAAAAGAATGTAAGATTATGTACTATAAGAAAAGTCTTCTCAGGCTATTGCCTTGATTCTCCTTTTCTCTTGACATAGCTTTGAAATAATCTATTTAATTTTATTGTGTTGTTAACTTGTATTATGGACGCTGCTTCCTCTGTACAGCAGATTGAGTTGTGATGAAAAAGGAGGCTGTGTATGAATAGACTTTGCCTCCAGATGATTTCAACACCCTTCCCCACAGGATAACAGCAAAATCTAATTTGTGATGTTTTTGAATGACTGAGGAATATTAATGATGATGTTACCAACAGTAGGTAACCATTGTTATAATGCAAATACTGGCTGCCTTCATTTACCTAGGGAGCTATAGTTACATAAATACTGACTGACTTTATTTACCTCGTGGTAAATATTTTTTCCACCAGCGTGAAATGTTAAACTGAGGTCCCACTTGCCTGTTCAGGTGGATATTAAAGATACCAATGCACTTCTCAAAAAGAAAGGAAAGTTTTTCCTGGTGTCCTGGCCAATAATTCCCCAGATATAATTGCTTATTCACACTATGGTTGTTTGTAGAAAATTGCTGTGTTCAAACTGGCTAACGATTTGCTTAAAAATATACAGTATCACTACACTTTCTGTGAAGCACTTTGAGACATCCACCTAACATGAAAGGCACAATATCAAATGTAAAGATTATTTTTATTATTATCTTGTCACATTATTATAACATGTAAGCTATTGTTCTTCTTGTTAAAATGTATTCTGCCACTAACAGGTAATGCTCTTTATCATACAGATGGATGTGTTTGTTTTCCTGGGTGGATGGGAGTTAACTGTAGTTATGGTGAGCATGTGTTTTTTTTCTGTAGTTTACAGTCAACTGTCTTAGTTATGGTAAGATATACCTTTCTCTAAATACTGGCATCAGCTGTCGTTCTTCCCTTTTCTTTTCTAAGAAACAAGCAAAGGTCATCCAGCCCATTTAGTCCACTCCACCATTAAGTCTAAGGCAATTCCCTTAATTCCATTTCTCCATTTTGTTTCTCCTCTTTCCTTGCTTTCCAAGTATCTATGCAATCGCTCTTTTGAATATCACAATCAACTTTGTATCTATGGCTTTCTGAGTTAGTCTATTCCAAATTCCTTTTTGGTCCTTCCAAGTGCAAGGATTATTTATATTCTTACAACCCTTTATGTGACCCTTTTAGCTCTAATTTTAAGGTTATGCCTTTTGTCCTAAATTTCTACCAAGAATTAAGTTGTTCTTGTTTACGTCGTCGGTGCCCTTCATTATTTTGAATAGCTCAATCAGATCTCCCTTCGACCTGTTTTCCAGTCAATATGACCCAAAGTTTATTCTGCCTCTCATAGTTGAGTCTTTGCATTCCAATTGTCATCTTGGTGATTACTTGCTGAACATTCTCCAAGGCAAGTATATCTTCCTCGTGTAGAACACCCAAAGCTGAATAAAGTACTCCATATGATATCTGTCAAACTATCTGTATTGTGACATTACTTCCTTGTTCTTACATTCTATACTTATAATAGTCCAGCATTCCTTGAGTCTCTTTGATCACTCTTTACGCTATGAACCAGCTTTTATATCTGATGTGCTTGTGTGTGATCTCACAACTCATGTTTCATATTAAAAGACAGTGAAATCCCCTTTTGCCGGACGCGGGTTAACCCCAGACGTCGGGGAAAATTGAACAAAACGCCCAGCTCCAATTCATTTGTATTCTTGCCTGTTTTAAATATGCCAGCTGATTCAAACAAAAATCTGCTGAATCCAGTCAAAATGCCGCGCTGGTCACTGCTGCACATACTCACTCAGGCATTCTGTGTGTCCAGTGACTCCATTCAGCCATGAAGGGCTCCAAGATGTAAAAGGGAGGAGTCAAATTGCGATTGACAGTGGACTCCAGCCATTCACAAGCAGCTGGAGTTGGGCTGTCAATCAGTGAGGGGGCGGAGGAACAGGGAAGAACAAGGAAGTGAAATCGCGATTGATTGACAGCTGAGCCTCTTGTCATTGGCTGGAGCCCAAACATTCACAAGTGACTGCCGGCTGTCAATCACCTCAGCGCCACCGTCCCCTTCCCGTCCAATGGGGAGGGCAATGGGAGGGAGGCGGCACCGCTGCTCCTCTGCTGGGCGGACACTGCTGCACTCTCAGTTGCAGCCAAACAAAGATAAATATATTTTACTGAATTGTGTGCAAGTGTTTTAAGTTTAACTGCTTAGTTATCATTGCTTCAAGTGAAACAACATTATTACATATTATTATACGGTGTCTGCGCGGCTCCTCTTCTGGGTGGGATTGGTATTTCAGTTAACCTCGGACGCCTCTTAAGCAGGACAAACTGGCCGGCCCAAGTGTGTCTGTCTTAACTGGCTTCCACTGTAATGCTTAATGACATCAGTTACGCATTGGAATCTTTATCCCAACAAAAATTCAATAATATGAAAAGCTCTACATTTAAGTTCAATAGTACAGTTTGAGGTTGCTGATTTAAATTTTTATTTAAAAAAACTAAAATTAATAAATGTTCAAAATACTGCATTAAATAAACACTTTTGCTTACTTAACTTTGGGCAATCACTTCTGTTAATTTTGTCAGTAAGCCTTTCAACACGGTACATTACTGAAACCTGTAACGTTTTAGTTTCCTTTCACAGAACTGTTCATTTAATGTATTTTTAATGTCATCATCTATTTTATAAATGTCAGACAACATCACATTGAAACAGGGTAGTAACACATTATCATGTTAAACTGCAAGAACAAAGTTCATCTGGTTTATCAACATATTTCCAGATGTTATGTATCTTCATACTTGTTCTATAATGGGGCATTAATAGTGAATGATTTTGTTTTCTTGGGCTGACAGCACATTTCATGCAGATTGTGCCAGATGGCAGGCTGATCTGAAGTACTATCGTATTTTTATATAGGTAAAATTGATTACCAATGCCACTTCTTTCTCCGTGCTGCTATACTACGCAGAATGCACACAAGGTTTTAATGGCTTTAATCACACAATCAATGCCTAAATATTTTACAGAAATGGGGAGCAATTATCCATTATCAATTAGCAATTATCCATTTTAAACTTAAACATAATACTGACATAATACTGACAAGGAATTAGTACACATGATAACACTGGGGTGACTGTTTGGTTCCTTTTTCTCTCTTAATTTTTTTTCTCTCTTAATTTTCATTTGCAATGGAACTCAGGTATTTCACTGTGGTCGGTGTTTATGTCATTTTAAATTGCGATTTGTTTCTTGATAGTTTCTTTATATAAAGTAATTTTTTTCCAAATCTTTTCATTCAGTGAGGTTTGAGTTTCTAATTAATAGAATAGCCTTTTTAATTTTGTTTAAAGCAGATTAAATAGATTTTCAATGTAAACAAATGAAAATAAAATAGACACTAATTTTTGCATAAATATGTGTACTAAATTCTACACTTTTTAAAACAGAATGTCCTGTGGGATGGTATGGCCAGCAGTGTCAGCAGGCATGTCAATGTGCAGACATGTGCCCCTGCCATCCAGTGACTGGCAGCTGTAACATCACCCTTGAGTCCATCCTTAATGGCAGCTGGTACAGAGGTACTCAAATATTTACTAATTACTACATTTTGTGCAGCACCAAAACATTTTTTATTTGCTTTTTCATTGCGAACAATGTCAAAGATGTCAAGACTGTGAAATTAATTGCTACTTTTGGCATCAAATTATTGACATCAAGTTTCCAAGTATAACATGGTTTAGAGGCAGAGTAAAGGTCAATATGTCTGGAGAACTTGTGACATTTTCCCTTTCACACAGCACCAATGTTTATAACTTTCTCTCCTCTCACATCAGCCTGATTTTCTCATGTCTCTCCTCAAGGTAATCTGTCGTAATTTCAAAACCTTCCTCTTCGACCGAGCCTTCGAACACCCTCCCTGCCCTCCTTCAGCAGTGCTACTGAAACAAAGCTTTGTGTCACATCACTACTACAACTCAAATTGGCTCACACAGGACAAACTAGGGATCAAACATGGAAACTTCCTAGGCTGTGTGGTTCTATACTACATTAGGGGGAGTTATTCTGGCTGCATCACAGATTTATCTATAGAACCCAGGAACCAGGCTTTTATTTTGAGAATAAGCACATATACAGTCCTGGAGCTCTAGCGCTCTGATACTACACATATTTAGGCTACATCCTGCATTACCAAACTTCTCCCACCCATGTCATTCACTCTTCAAAAATGAAAGTTGTAAAAACGTTAGTATAAATAGTTACTTGACAAATGATCCCCACCACAAAATGCAACAAAAGGCACTTTCTAGTACAGTATATTTCTTTTTCATGATAAATAATCCTATCCTATATTTGTTTTGCCCACAAATATACAGTCAATTCAATTTACAGTATATCCTGTGAAGTTCTTTGAGATGTTTCGAAGATATGAAAAGCACTATATCAAATGCAAGGATTATTATTATCTTCAGTAGTTTGACATTGCAACATACCAGGAGAAGTGACTAGAGAAAAAGATGATACTAGGAGAAAGCTCAGTGCTCCTGGTATTAGTAGAGACATATGTCAGATTTCACAGGTATAAAAGTCCAGTATCATGGATAAAGCATAACTGTATAGTTGGAGGAAAATGTTTCTATTCCAGCGAAGTAGTTTGTATGCAGTGTGGTATGAAAGTATTCTCTGAAGTCCTTTGTTAGTCCAAATGAGAAAGAAGGTTTAGTAGGGGGTCACCTCAGATATTTTTATCTTCATATAATAATAATAATTATAATAATACTTTTGATATATTTGCATTTGATATAGCACCTTACCTCATCTTCAAGACGTCTCGAAGCACTTCACAGGATATGCCTCAAAGTGAATTGACTATATTTTGTGGGCAAAACGTGGCAGCCAATTGCGAACAGCAATGTCCCACTGGATTGAAGTGACTAATTTACTATTATTATTTTTGAAGAAATTATTACCCCCGAAAAAGTGATCCACTAATCGACTACAACCAGGTTCCTACTTACTGCTAGGTAAACAGTCGTGGTGAGTAAGGAAACTTGCCCAACTTTTCACCCTGGTGGGAATCAAACCCAGGTCTCTCGCATGTGAGGCGAGTGCTCTAATCACTGAACTACAGGACTCCAGATGTATGCGCAATTACCTTTTTAAATCATTGAGGACAACCTTGTTGGTTCCTCTTTCTTCCTGGAAAAATGATATTACGTACATACTTCATCATATCTGACCCAACATTGGGAGAAGGCACATCTCCTGCCCTCCACTGCCACTTGCTATGAAGGTGGCCCATCTTGACTGGCACTGATGAAGGAGGGCATCTGCCCATGTTCATGCAGAAAGGTTGAGCTGCTTGATTCAGTAGTCGAAGGCATAAGGCTTTTAGAGGGACAAATCTGGTTCCCACCAAAATCTGCCCTGGGCGATTGTTGTCCTTGCATGATCAGTCAAAATAAAGTGGGATGCTCAGGCATGGGTGTTATTTCCATTGGCTTAATTAGCTATCAGACATTACGATATTTTTAAGATCACTCCACATTTTATATCACATTGGAGTCAGTACAGGAATAGTAATATATCCATTTCCAACCAAATGATTCCAAAGTGCTGCAGAAAAGTCTGTCATATAGCCTTTCTGAGCTCAATGCAAACTCAGGTCCTTGCAGTAAACAATCAGTCAAAATTTCACCCAATTCCCCTCAAAATAATGTTTTTGCTTGGTTAGTATTTAAAAAAAAACTAAATTCCATGCATTTGTGATTATATTTGACTAACTCTACCCATTGCTAGTTATTAGTCTCCCTTTTAAAATTAGCTTAATAATATGAATAGTATCCAAATTAGACACAAATTCCATCCTATTTGTGTTACAGTCCATAATTGCATAGCTTCACAGATGGATAAAACGGGGAAGGAGCAACAAAACTTGGAAGAGGATTCTAATTTCTTGAAAACGTATGTATATTTTATTGCTTTTTTATCTTTTATTATCTAGGTATTTGCATCTCGTACTTCACCGGAAGCAGCATTAAATGGGATATTAGAGTTTCAAATACATAAATAAAATATATATATAATATAAATCCATCCCCCCATTTGGCAATATTATTATCTTGACAATAGTAATCCTTGCATTTGATCCTTTTGAATTAGAAAATATAGCCAAGGAGGATCTGGTTTACCTGCATCACTCATTTCACTCACCAAAAGTAGCAATTGATAGAGCAAAGTAAGCCAACACAATAAAGTATATTTGAATGTAATTGTATCCTGAAAGACAGTTCCAAATAACAACTCACAAGGTTAGGTGAGTTTGGAATTCCAAATAACTAAATAGACAAGTCTGATTGGGAGACTTAGGGAGTAGTAGAACTTGAGACAACGTACAAAGGATGGAAAGTGTTTGCCAAACATCCATCATTTATCTATGCTACCACAATTTTCTCTTTTCTGGCTATCTTTGGTTAAAACTACAGCAACAAAGGTATTCCCAGAAGAAGAACTGGACAGCTGACTTTTGGGGACATTGAATCCCGGTGGCAGAATATTGTGCTGATCTATTTAAATAAAATTGATAATCTTTCAGAAATATAAGGGTTTGGACCCCCTGGTAACCTACAGGAAGATTTTTGTTTTGTTTCTTTGTTTGCCAAATGGCTATCCTGTGTTTCAAAGTCAGTCTTATTGTTAAATTAATGTGACAGATCGTTAACCATTTTCTGTAATTCAATCACTGCCTGCTTCTAGTATGCCACTATATAAATTTTATATGGAAGGGGAGAAAATTATATGCTGAACCCATCTGTATACTATTCCTTGACTTCATTCCCAAGAAAACTGCTTTATTGGTGTTGATTACAGTAGGTTCTTGCATTGCTATATTTTCAGTGTAAGAGAAATGGGATATAACCAATAGTATGGGAACCTGCATAAATCTAAATGAATGAATTTTGGCTAAGTGTTTCTTCAGACTGAGAACATTCTTTTCAGATATTTGTATAATGTTTTGGGGCTAATAGTTACTGCACCTTTCAAGAGCAGAAGGGCCATTAGCATATGTAGCATATTTAAATTTAGCATATTTAAATTTCCTTTTAACTATTCGCACATTTTAGGAAAAATCTAGAGCTTTAAGCAAGTAATATTTTGCAATATTATCAGGTCTTTATTTTGGAGTTATACTACTAGGTCAGTGATGATTTAGAAATACGAAGCAATGTGAAATAGAAAATATTTTTACAATGTATTTTTCTATATTTAATAGGAAAATATGGCCAATCATATCAGTTACCCTTCTGCTGATGTTCCTGATGAGTGCAGCAGGGAATATCTTCCAGTTTTGCCAGAATGGCACTTGCTCTGAAATCCGCCGTGGCTATTCCTACCATCTACTGAAAGACGCTAATGGGATATTAACTCATGCAGAAATGCCTGAAATTATCCCATTAAAACAGACGAATACACACATTCAAGAAGACAACAGCCAAGAGACTATGAATTTTTAATGTTAATCAATTTTGCTAATGTGATATTATCCTTCTGGAAAAAAATGTGATTTTTTTAAATCTTGGAAGAAACTGGATGGGTTCATTATATACAGTATCTCACTGAAAGGTCACCTTGACATTTTGCTCAGGAATCGCAGGACTGTGGGGGAAAAAAAGGCGTATTTAATAATAATGTGATCAGGCATAAGAAGTTGCTTTCATGTATACTGCATACACAATGGAGAATTTCCAACCACAAAACAATTTGGAGGCCTTTGTGAGCAAATTCAAATGCTGTCCAATTTCAGACATTCAGGTATTGTTTTCAATCTATCTTCATCCTGGATCTCACTTGATTATTTTTCTCAAAGTGAGGCCAGTGATAAAAGTGCCAACTTCCAAAACGTATCCAAATGGCTTGATCATTCTAGCAATAAATAACTGGATTTCTGCGTCCAGGCACAGCATGTTTTTTATTCAAAAGCTATTCACTTCATTGGCTGAAGTTTTAATGCTGCAGTTCTTACCTTTTGGTTCTGAGGCTGGAAGAGGAATTTTACATGACCGTTTATTCTTTGTTCTAAACCACATGAAAACATTATCCAGAATATTCCATTATCCGGAATGTGTATTCCAGCGCCAAGATCTGTGAAAGGGTTGACGGTGGACTCACTGAGCCCTCCCTCTTGAAGGAGGGATAAGGCAAGGCTGCCCATTGTCACCAACCCTATTCAAGATGTTTACCAATGATGTGTTGGATGGCATTGAGGGAGAGGGATGGACTTGGTTCTTGTATTAAGTTATGTTTCAAGTTTCATTTTATAGTTGAATTTGTATGATATCTCTTGGGTTGCATCTTTAAGAAAGTGTAACATATTATGCAGTTCTTAAATGCTACCAATTTGCACAATGAGGAATGGAAAGCAAAAGTAAACAGATATATTTGTTAATTTTAAGACATTGTTTTCAGTCAGGATTTGCAAACAGTTGGTTATTTTTATTTGGTGTAACTTTGCGTCTCTGCTTTCAAATGGGTAAGATATGATGGTGCATATATTTGGGTCCACTTGTGAGGAAGTCCTAAACAAACCCAGAAGTGATTAACCACCACTCTGCTTAACCCAACCAGAAAATCATGTGTTCCAACAACCACCCCTACTAATTAATTTGCTACTCTAGGAAATTTTATTTCTTAACTTACCCATTCATGCTCATAGTTATTAAAACAAAAAGCTTGTGTTTGATATAGTGCTTTTCACAGTGGGAGGATATATCAAAGAGCTTCACAGGATTTTACTATAAAGTCTAGAGATTGTGTATTTTGTAAACGAACATTACAATAATCTTAAATCTATAATCTTAAATTATGCCTTTTATCTTCATATTACTTACCAGCGGAAGCAGTTCTATTCATCCTCTCAAACTCTTTCATTATCTGAAACACCTCTATTGTATCATCCCTGAACTTTCATTGTGCCAAAGAGACTTAACCTCTCCATCCTCTCTTGATAGCTATATTCCTTCATCTCCAGCATCATTCTCATGAATCTACTCTATATTCTCTGCTATAACAGGTTCTCTAGTTATATGCTGTGGACTAGTAACTTCATCACAAAGTCAAAAGAGATACTCTAAAGAAGGCCTATTTGATCTTATCCTTCCGTACCCATTCATTGCAGTCTTCCTATTAGAGAATAGTTTGCAAATAGTTTTGTACCACCAATTACAATTCTAACACTCAAATCATAACAATGTAATCCTGCATAATGTTGATTGTACAAAGAAAGGATAGTACAATGTAAGTCCTTATTTTTGGCAATTTTTGCACTAACCAGACTCCATATAGAAATAGATTGTGGAATCAGTGCAATAAAATCTACTACTATATGTTACTTTTATAATGTGGGATAATCTTAAAGGCTATTTTCAGGTTTCTTCCCTCCCCTGAAGGCATCAGACCCTCCAATATCTTGCTAAATGGCCCTTATTCATTGTCTTCCCCGACCAAAATTCTGTCTGTCCAGCACCTTGGAACGTCCTCCCGACGTGAAAGACGCTATACAAATGTAATTTTGTTGTTGTTGTCTTGAGTCCAGTTATATGCCTGTATTAGAGAGGCAACGTCACAATCAAGCTTGACCCTATCCTCATCAAGTGCCCACAGACACTTTTAAGTCAGGGTCTCTAGATGAGTATCAGGAGTGAGGAACCCAGGGTTTCCCTTCCCTAACCCAGGATATGCTGAGACCGAATGGATTCCAAATACTGCTCCTGTCGCCATTGCCTGTATTAATACCTTATTCCAGCACAATTGAGGAGGGAAAAGTTTCGGGCCTTGTTATCCCACCATCTATTTTTTTAGTGCACTTAACTATTAATATGTGTTAGTTTAGAGTTTAGTGTACCTGAAAGCAATCCAGGTAATTTTATTGCACTTATTAGGCTGGAATGCAATCATTAAAATGTTAATGAAAATAAAATGCTTAAATAGATTTCAAGCAACGATTTTTTAGAAACTGTTGTAACGTTTTTTAAAATAAACCCAAATTTATCTTTGAAATCTTGATTGTGTATTTTTTGCCTGTGTTTTAAGGCAGCAGAATGTACAAGTCCTGCTTTGTACAGTATTTCAATAATGTTTGAAATCAACATGCGGATGCTCCCAGTATTCTGTGTTGATCCAGTGGTTTGTGTGAACATTCTTCATTACCAAATTCCCGATCTCTGGCAAGCCATAGAAGGAGTACAACATCGACGACTTATACAAGACACAAAATACTGCAGATGCTGGAAATCTGAAGCAAAAACATAAGTCGCTGGGAACACTCAGCAGGTCAGGCAGCATCTATGAAGAAAGGAAAGTGAGTCAATGTTTCGGGTCCACGACCCTTCGTAAGAACGGAATATTTCAACGTGTCTGTCAACACTTAATCCCTGATCCTAGAGTGTATAAGTCTACAGCAGGCCCTCCGACATGTCATTCCACCGGAGGATCATCAGATTTTGGGAGTGCCAAAGGACCTCTTTCTCCGAGTTGATAGGACTTCAGGTGCACTAGATGTCGGTCTCGCTGTGAGTCCCCAGGAAGAGACTGTACAGCACCAACTGCCGTGACAGTAGATCACCAGGGACAAAGCGCGAGAGCAGCCATTCCATCTGTCTCCAGACCATCTTCACATTCGAACACTCCAAGAACAGGGTACTCCCCGATGGGGTCTGCCACCATCCCTCCCACTCTGATAGTCTCTGCAACCTGCGTGTGGACCAATTGGTGATCTGTGGTGTTGTCAGAGATCGGTCGCAAGTCCTTTACCATTTTTTCTAAAAGAAAATATGTATGTATTTATTGATAGAATATATATTTGCACTTAAATCAAAGAAACAATTCCCGTGACAGAAACACGCATTATTATCCCATTACAGGACGCAACAGATCTGGCCCCCTTGTTGTGGGGGTTTCCTTTGCGTACTCCACTTTGGTGTAGGGGCCAAGGTTTCCCCGCCTCGTAGTTCTGCCGCCCTTTGCAAGGCGCAGTTACAAGATGGGTTTTGTCTCCCTGTTGCCTTCCCCTTTATGGGGAGTGCAGACAGGTTCACAACACACGGCAAGTGCACATAATTTTGGGAATGCTCCAATTTAAATACAATTGAGAACGCCCCTGTGCACAACACACACACACACCCTGGGCTGGACTTCTGTATTTATCGTATCTTGCGTGGTTTGTGTTGCGATGTCTTTGGGTGTTTTGATGGTAAACGTATGTGTATGGTCCATACTGGGGTACGCACAAATCCTTTACCATGATGCTGAAATGGAGGATGCAACTCAGCTGAATTCATTGACTTCCAAATGATTACTGAATGGAGTCACCTAATGATCCTTTGACCTTTAATGTCAGTGTATGAACTCACTGTCTTGTCCCTCATTAATTTCGTTCCTCTTTTGTCTTTCATTCTCAGCAAGCAATGCAACTTATTATACTCCGTTTGAAAGAGATGATCGCTTGCATCCCTTCTGAATACTGAAAGTTCTCATGGACTTGAGACTTTCTGCCTGGCGCCTTTTCTTCCTGCCTTCAAGGCCCACTATTTTGATCAGGCCTTTCATCAATATCCTGAAACTTACCCTGCTTCCCACCCTGCTCGATGAGGTAATGCACATCATCTTTGTAAAGTGCTTTGAGGGTTTATCCTATATGAAAAGCGGTAGATGAATTAATGAGTAAATCAGGTACTGCTGTAACCCAGTATAAAACAAAGCAATATGGAAAGAACTAGACAGAACATGTCAAAATTTGTGATTTATAGAAACAACCACCAGATGGAGTTGTACTACTTGAGTTGTGAGTGGCACAGACTCGAATGAAGAAAATTTTGAATTGTTATGTTGGAAAGTCTCAAAGTGCTTCACAGGCAATTACTAGATTTTGTCAGTGACGACACAAGTAGTTTATTGTTTGTGAAATACTGCTCCTGAAATGCATTCTGCTTTAAAAAAACAATAATAAAATTGTAACCACAATTACCCAAGCTAGGCAGATACGGATGCATCCAAGCAAATGCTTAATTCAAGAATCACACAGTTTATTAACACAGGACGGAGCTTCAACGGAGACAGACCAGACTCTCTATCGCTAACAACCCTGAAGGGCTGCAGGTACCTGGGTTCATGGTCGGTGTCTTGCAAACCCACTTACATTTACTTTGCCAGCACATAAGGTGACCATATTTTGTAAACCAAATCCGGGAACTCATATATAAATCTGAACTCACCACAATTGCTAATGCTGGCAGTACTGAAGAATCTTGCTGGATTAGTGGCTGTATTTCTCTGATGAAAATTTCTATTTTTGAAATAAATGAGTGTATCTGATTTAAAGTATTATCGTTCTTGTTCAGTTTGTTGCTGAGCTCAAGACGAGGCAAATTTAATGAGGGACACAATATGGGGACTGTCCACAGAAATCGGGGACCAATGGTCACCCTACCCCTCACGGTTCCCCAATGCTCTGCCTGACTAATCAGGTGGGGAGACCTCAGGCCTCTTTGTTTCCTGGCTGCCAGGGGCTGGGGCCTGGAGTCGGAGCAGGGACCTCTTTCCTGGAGCCACAGCAGAGGGAAACCTCCCTGGTGGCTCGGTCACCCCTTTTAAGTGGCACATGTCCCACCACCTCTCAGTTACAATCCAAAGGCCCACATTAGCGGCCTCCGCACTGCCAGGTCTCAGTCTTTACAATCCAAGGGTCACACCTTACCAGGCTTCCCCTCTGCCAATACCCTAAATCCCTTATTGCTTCATTGGTTTGAAAATTGTGGGGGGGTTTGTCACTAACGGGCACACTTACCATTTCCATGCCATGTGATTGTGAATAGTCCTCTTTTTCTCAACTCCAATTCTCCCTTCTCCTGAAGCCGCTCACTCTGTTCTGAAGTAAGGTTTCCTGGGCATATCCAGTGACTTGCTCCAGTGGATATTATTCATTGTTTGCCCAGATAGTGAGTTAAGGTTATTCAGTCACGAAAGCAGTATCAGAGCCAAACCCAATCTTGCTTTTATCCAAAATCAACACGTGCACTTTACAACAGGGTGACTTGATAGCAATCAGGAGTGGAAACTGGATGTATTTTCTCTCTATTCCTCTGCAAAGGGTGCTCAGCCAATTCTAGTATCCCAAATGCTGCCTTTGCTGAAAGTTAGAGCCTTTTTAACACATTTTGTTCCATGCATTTGGCATGTATTTGCCAATGCATAATTAAAATCATTCTCGCAATTCTTTACAGGAGTTATGATTCCATTCTGATACCATTCAGTATAAACAACCAATTGCATGAATGTATTACCCACTTAACTAGGGGTGAATTCCAAAATAGCAATATAATTTAGAAACATAGAAATCTGCAGGGTAGAAGGAGGCCATTCAGCCCATCAAGCCTGTGCCAGCTCACAGAGCAAGGATGTCACTTCAATCCCACTGCCCTACTTTATCCCTATACTTCTACAAGCCCCTCTCTTTCATGTGTCTTTGTGATCTTGCTATCAAACTTATCCGTTAAACTATATAATAATAATAATAATCCTTGCATTTGATATAGTGTTTTTCACATCTTCTTGACGTCTCAAAGCGCCTCAAAAAATATACTGTAAAGTGAATTGACTGTATATTTGTGGGCAAACACGGCAGCCAATTGCGCACATATATTAAAACTCTTTAAAATCCTACCTGCATTGCATTTGTTTCTGTCCTGACCAGCGAAATAAGGTGCGAAA